TCTTGACTTTAGTTTTGAAACTGGGTACAGGCGCGGTAGTGGTGAGAGATTGGGGTGGATCCTCTGAGTCTACTTTCGCTTTAATCTGGCTATAGCCTGCCTTCAACTTGCTAAAGCTCGTTGTAGACATCGTCCAGAGTGACTGTCAAGGTGTCGTGTCAATCAATGACGCTGACATGGAACTGGCTGCGCAGGGTTAGGACGCTTTTGAAAAAAAAAGATTTCGCCTAGAGTGTGACTTTTATCAATCTCCATATTTTTTTGTTCTACAGAAGCTTCCAATTATTCCACCAGACCCAGGCTTGCCTCAGCTCAAAAACGTTGACTGTTCTACAGGTAACTGCCCGCACCTAGTGGTGATTTTGCCTGTGTGTGTAAACATTATCGTTTTTCTACGAGCACAGATGTAGGCATAGAGGCACACTTAGGAACATCTAGAACAAGCTATAGGAAAGGCAGAAACCTATGCAAGCTCATCAATTACATGTAAATATAAGAATTCTAGCCAGTTAGTGGAGGTTTATGTTTACTAGTTTCGGTGGGTGTTAATTTTACCTCCCGTAAAGCCTTTAATTAATCGGATGTTTGGCCTAATCTTTGCCACAAAAAAGGCGCACAATAAATAAGAAGACACATGCAGCCAATTTACTCATAGCATTTTTTTATTTTTATGCTTATTTTTAATTTATCATTAGGTGTTAATGGTGCTAATGTTACTTCTATATTTATTATTAATTAAGTTAGTTTAGTTTGTCTTAGGATATCTTTGTTTATTTATTTTAGACAGGTTTTATTTTACTTTATTATTCACATTCGTTTGCTTTACGAGTTAGCATCTGTACTAATTTCGTTTAACTACTTGGTTTATATTACATTTTATCTAAAACATATATTTGAGTTCAGTTTTTATTTTTATTTTTAGTTCATTATTATGTTTTATCAGTTTTTTAGTTTTAGATTCGTTTTAGTTTAGTTAGTATAGTTTAGTTTACCTTTCCTTAGTTAGCAGACTTTAATTTTGGTTATTTGGTTTTTAGTTTACTTAGTCTAACATATTTTAGTTTACTTTAGTTTTAGCTTATTTTATAGTTTAGTTTTAGATTTACTACTGACATCCGGTGCTTATTTTATTTTATTTTTTGCTGAACTTTACTTTATTCTCGGAAAATCGTAGTCATTTGCGTTGTTCCACAAATTTGAGCAGTTGCCAATATTTGCGCAGTTACATATGCTATGTATGGCGCGCTTTTTGTTGTCATAGATTAGATTATTTTAATAGTCATTCCTATTTTTAAAGTTAAAAGCCCTCCTTTTTATATACATTTTCTTTCCTCCGTAATGCCCAAACTGTATAACCTTCATTATCGCTATTACCGTTTGAAATAAGGATGAGGTTTATGGCGTAAATTGAATGGTAAATTGAACTTTTACTCTCGTTTTGACTAGCTGACGGTTGCTCGTTTTCGCCTGCAATTAATTAAACCACCTCTTCCTTCGGTTTTCCGTTTGTGTCAGTTCTTTTCTTAGCCACTTTTTAACCATCATGGAGACCACGGGCGTTCGCCTATCTTTCCCCTAATAAAACTGAAGTGATAGGAGGGCTTGCCTTTCTAATGAAAATTCTGCACTTAGTTCCCGTCCATAGCCAGTCATCCAATTTGCCGCCAGCGGACAAAACATCTTGCAGACTGATGAATGCCATTTCAGTGTTAAAATTGCCTGCTTTTCGAACAACATTATTATTGTCACAGGTATTTTGATCTTGAACCCTGGTCGTAGGTGGTTATGTCGTCAACAGAAGGTTCCTTAAATCGAAAACCAGGGAAGAAAGAATTTGTAAGAACAGCTTTTTACTGCGTGGAAAAGAGCTCTGCCAAGCAATAGCAGGCGCTGCCTCAGCCCACTTTAGTTAGTTTGAAGAGTGTGGATGTGCGCCTTTGCGCGCGGGATTAGAGGCAAGCCTGTGACTGGTGCTTTGTTGCCTCAACCAGTCAGAAAGAGGTGCAAAGTGGCTGGCGTCAAGCTCGCGAGACTAGTCGCCAAGACGGGAGGCATCGACCCGACCGAGAGACAGGCATGAGGACAGTAAAAGGGCGTGGGACGACAGACCGCAAAAGCGAATCCACAGTTAGGAACGCGCAG